AAATAATTTCCAGCAAAGGTTTCCACAGGGTTGGGAATATTCTCTAAGGGACCCTCCATCTCTTTCTACTTACACTGATTGTCATAGTACTTGTACTTCATTTCTAATAATTGCTACCATTTTGCTGGATGCTTTTTTCATGGAAAATTTATATACAACTTTATTTTTGCATTGATCATGGAGAAGGTACTATTACACTGATAAGGAAATTAGGAGCACAAGAACAAGTCACCTGCACATATAGGTAAACAGTGAGGGCTTTTTATCCATCCCAGATCTGTCTGGACTCCTGAGCCCACTCTCTTTAGCCCCCATTGCCTGTTGAATTCATACTTTGCCAAAAGTTCATCATTCTCCCCCAGGAGAACTAAGCCTCCTGGAATGGGAACTGGAGAGCTCACGCTCCTTTAACAGAAATGTATAATGTATAATTATATCGAAGTATCAAAATAAGGGAAGCATAATGGCTTATTAAGCCTATTTTCATTGAAAATGAAACAAATTTACCATTCTAATAGGAAACATGAAGTATTACATCTTGTTTTTCAGTCTCATATCTTTTGCCATGACAACAGCTCTAATTTGCTATATTTGGCTTTGCATTAGTGTTACCAAAGTATTTGCCTTAATCTTCTTATCAGATCATACACTTATAAGCTCTTCATGGTACCTGCATGAGAATTGCTGAGCACATATTTGACTTAAAATTATTTCAGCATCAATATTAGGTCATGAGACAATTTTATCTGAGGTATTTTTGACCTAGATAAAGTAGACATAAAAATATGATTTTTGCAAATTTGGTTGCCTCTTCCCCACCCCCCTAGAAAAAGATATTTTTTTTTTTATTCAAGTAACTGCAAATAGGAAACCATAGGGGGAGCCCCAGGCTAGGACAAATAATAGCCACCCTCCCCAACAGAACAGGGAGACCTAGTGGCCCGTACACCCTTCCTTAGTCGACAAGGCCCCTCCTCAGTGTGCGGCAGCATCCAAGGGGCAGCACCCCACCTTCCTTGGGACAGGGTGCTCTGGACCCAGCCTGGGCACCCCTACCACAACTTGGAGAAGGAACAGGGCAATGAGGATGAACATCTGGCACTGATGTTAGCAGCAATGACAAATGTCTAATAAGAGTGAAACACTGGAAAAAAAACCAATACAACTGTCCAGAGGTAGTTTGTGAACAGAGGAAAAGATGGAACCAGAACCTTGGGGGAGGGGAGCCGAGGGTGGGGAGCATGGGGCGGGCTTGGTATTGGCACCCACCCAGGGTCAGCAGTTGCAGTGAAAGCAGGAAGGTGGGCACAAGCCTGGCCTTCGCAGCTGCCAGAAGGGACTTGGGCCTTACCTGAGCCGGTGAGGGCCAGCTGCTCTTGAGGGTGTGGCACAGAGGGTAGGGCCTCTGCCTCTTGCTCCTTCCTCTACCCCAGGAGGTGTCCAACCTGGGGACTGACTAGGAAGGCTGGGAAGGAACAAGAGGGTGAGCCCTAGTGGATGAGACTGGCTGGGACATTTGGGGGGCTGAGCCACCCCCACTGGCCACCTGGCTGCTGCCAGCACAGTGTCATAGGGCGTTGCAAGTGTGAGATGGGGCAGGGACCCCTTAAGGCCAGGGGAGCCCTCCCAGGCCCCTAGAGTGCAAATCTAGAGGGAGCAGTGAGGAATGGAATTGCCCAGAGCAGTGACCCCGCGGCAGCGGGTGCAGGGACATGGGGAGCGGCTAAGCAGATGTTAGCCTAGTCCAGGAGGGCAGGTGTGTGCGGGCAAGGGCTGCACCAACCTCAGGGCCGCAGCGCTGGTGTGCTGTAGTGTGGGACAGGGTGACAGGCCTGGGTTGGGGAGGGCGGGGCCAAGCTATCCCCCGAGAAGGAAGTTGGTCCTCCAGGGAGGGGCGGATGGCACCGCGTGGTCACTTCTGGTCCTCCGAGGACTCCTGCGAGATGTCCTCCTCTCCCTCCTCCTGTTTTGGGTCTGCCCGAGGTTTCCTCCCTGGAGCCGTAGTAGTTTTCCAGATCTTGGCAGCACCCTTGCTTTTGCTGCCCTTCGCTCAGCCCCAAGGTCTCTTAGGTGCTGGCGCTTCACTGAGCTCCTAAGGACTCGCTGGAAGTTGCTTGCGCGGCCTGCCCCGGCCTCGCTTCTCAGTGCCGTCCTTTCCCTGCTTGGAAGCCAGGGGCTGGCTGGACTTGGAGCTCAACTCTCTTGTCTTCCTTCTGTCCAGGCAGGTGGAACGCTGCTGGGATGGCCTTCTTGGAGAAGCACCAGCACCAGACATAGCCGGGTTTGAAGTCCCAGTTAGAGGCTGGTTGCTTCTTCCTCAGTGAATCAAATTTTTGTTTTGCTTTTTAAAAAAATCTCTTTATTTATTTGTTTGGCCTTGCTACTCAGCTTGGACTTGCAGTGATCCTTTTATCTCAGCCTCCTCAGCACTGGGATTACAGGCATGTGCCCCTACACCCGGTTTCGGTGGCCGGCACAGTGGTATGGCGTGTGGTACTGTCCTTGGCCTTGCCAGGCAGGCTCTTAGACTGCAGCGCTGTCTCCCCACTTCCTTTGTTTTGCTTTTGAGTCTGTAAAGGATTCAAGTAGTTTGATATTAATCTAAATATGTAATTCTTTGCCGATTTTGGATTTTTTGCAATTATTCTATTAGTGACCATTCTGAACAGCAGTATTATGGTTTCTGTCTAGATGTCCCCCAAAACCTCATTTTTAGGTGGGCCTTTTCTGGAGGTGGCTGAATCTAGAGCGTGTGACTGATTGGTGGTAGCATACTGGGATAAAGGGTGGGTTGCAGCATCAGTTTGCGTACTGGATTGGCACTGCCCTAATTCCAGGAGGCCATGAACTGTTGCCCCTGTCATGTGCCACTCTGCCTTGGCACTAGGCAACTGTGTAGTGAAAACTATAAAAACTGTGAGCTAAGCACACCTTTCCTCGTTTATCCTTTTGGATGTTGAGTATTTTGTCTCAGCAGCGAGAAAAGTAAGATGGAAAACATTTTATTATCAGCATATAATATATTGTATTTATTGTATAAATATTGCATAGAAAGAGCTGATTTATTTAGCGTTTTACATTTAGATACTGAATTTTCATCTGCCTATTTCTAAGTTACTGGATTAGTTTTTTTGTTTTTTTTTTGCGGAACCAGGGATTGAACTCATGCCCTTGCGCTTGCCAGGGAAGCGTTTATTCTACTGAGCCATCTCCCCGGCCCCCCCGGTAATTTCTGTTTCTATAAGATAGCAACAGTAAAAAATGGGGTCACTGGAAATGTTAAATAATATAAACACAGTATTTTATGATTGTGACAAAATACTGTATAAATCTTAATCCTAATTTGTTTTTATCACTATATTATTGTTCCATTCTATTGCAAATCTGGACCTAGTTTTATTTTAGCCTGTGCTGGGCACTCACCTGACATTTGGTAAACGAACACATGAATGAATGATGCATATTCATGAAGAGCATGAGATCTAGCGAAAATTGTCTGTTGTGTTGCATTGTTTGGAAAGAGTAGCGAAGGCTGCTTTCAGCTGAGTTTTTCTAGTAGAAGGGTTCTCTTATGCTGTCTACATATGAATGCACACTTATATGTATCCCAATTTCCTAAATCATAGGAATAATTTAATAATGTCTCAGGGCCAAATTTTTCTTCAGTTACTGTTTTTCAGGGCAAGAAAGTAGATCCTTCCTATGCACATTGTAATTTCTAGAGAGCTGATGTGACAGTTAGCCTTTTGAGGAAATGATTGAGCCCAGCCTTTTGAAGCATGTCCTTATTCTGTTTACTTATTTGTCTTATTCCTATTCAAGTTTTATAAATTAGATATAGGTTCTTTGTCATATTTGTTGCAGATAATCTTTCATTTTCATTTTCGTTTTTTAATTACTTGTTGAATTTTATATTTTAAGGAACTAGGATATGTTGATTTAAAAATTAAGACATTTTAGAGTATATTAAATTTTTGAAAAATAAAATGTGCTTAGTAACATGGAAGGTAACAGGGGCATTTGTATATATTCACTCAAGGACAGTGAGGTGTTGGAAGCGTCACGTAATACTGTTGGTAGAGATGGGCTGTAACTGGCTGTAACAAGCTAGAGAAACATACTGTGTAGGTAAGATGTTAACTCTAGTTAACATCTAATTATAACCTTATTACTAGGTTATAAAAATGGAAAACGAACAGTAAGGAGTTCTTGAAGTGGACACAGTACAAATTCGTTCATGCTTGCGTACGAGCATATGCTCCATAGCCATTTGGAAGCCTGCTGTTGCCAGAGGTTATTCCAGGTTCTCGGACCGTGCCAAGGAGCAAAGCAGTGATCACTGCCTTCACTGACGTGGTGTCCTAGCTGGAGAGACAGATGAGTCATGTAGTATGTGGGATGATAAGTGCCGTGGGAAAGAAGAGAGCAGGATAAGGGAAGTCAGATCGTAAATGAATTGGAGGGGTGACAGTGTTAGTCTAATAGGGATTTGGATATGTTCTAGGAAGAGGAAATGGAAGAAATATTCAAGGAGGGAGCCTAACTTGTTTTGAAGTAGGTTGGGACATACATGTGGCAGGATGTGAGTGGAAGATGAGCCCAGAAAGGAACGGGGGTGGGGTGTGTGTGTGTGTGTGTGTGGACCGTGTATTTGCTTAAGAGCGCAGGTGTGATACGGGCCACCCTATGGCCCTTTATTGTTAATCTACTGGCCATCTGCTATGACAGAAGTTCACTCTTTGAAACTCAGTTATTAAACCAAAAGGGAAGATTTAATGTGATTCCTTAGCATATAGATTCAAATATTTGTTGAATAAGTGTGTGGAGAGAAAAGAAATTTAACATCTTCATTTCTTGCTTATTTGCCTGATTTTTCTATTCATCACAGTTTGAACTTTGTTTTTTTAATAGCCCATTAATATTTGGAAACTTGAATTTGTGGGTCAGTTTACAGTATACATTTTTATACCTTTTTTTTTTTTTTTTTTTTTTTTCCCAAGCAGGAGTATGTTGCTGCTGTTCTGCTTTGCGTCCTCGCTACAAACGCCTGGTGGACAACATCTTCCCTGAGGATCCAAAAGTAATTTGACCTACATCTACTGATCCTTCTCTTTGCTGACCCATTCTGCCCCCTGCTGACCTTTCTAAGGTTTCCCTAATTTCATTTCTCTACTTTTACCCCGTGTCTTGTCACGTACGTCACATGCACAAATGTTTTTACATTTCTTTTTTAACTTTTAAGTGACTGCTTGCTTGTCCAATTTTCAGATACTTTTTGTAGATTAGGCACACATCTGACATGGTATACATTCATGATGTTCTTTTGTAATCTATATCATTTAATCATCAAAAATATATCAGTGCCAGATGAGGTACACTATGTGCTCTGCATGTAACTGTGATCAAACATAGGTTTCTGTCTTCACCAAATACCTGGATAAGGAAAATGACAATAAAACTATAGTGTGAAAAAATGTTGAGATACAAATGAAGGACCAAGTGCTGCTGGAGTAGATAGGCATGATATCTAATTAGGGTTTAGGAGAATAGAGGCCTGAAGAAAATGAAATCTAAGAGTACTTAAGGAGTAGCCACACAGTTATTAGAAGAGAACTGAAAGGTGAAGAGACTGTTCCAGGTTGTTTTGTTTTTATTTACATATTGTCTAGTGTTTTGTAAAAAACTGAAATACCTTTGAGAGGATGACTAATAGCAAAGTACCTGGGTTTGAGTGATTTTGTTGATACTGCCTTAGACTTTCCTTTAGTGCTCTATTAATTGGATATGAACATAAAATGCTATATACGAGTTTAATTTCCACTTTAAAGAATTCCAGCTTTAAAGAATCCTTTTGGTTATGTTAACATTCATGTTTCTCTCTGCCTCGCCCTTGCTGTGCTAGGACTCAAAGCCAGGTCTTCGTATATGGTAGGCAGATGCCCCATTGCTGAGCTGTTTCCCCAGCCTGATCTATCTCATGTTTAACAAATCTATTTAAACAATCCACTATGTAGAGGAAGTTAGTCACACAAAAATTTATACTATATTAAACAAACTTTTTATGTTTTTGTTTATAATTTATAAATTTTATTAAAACAAACACAAAAACATTATAATGTATCTAAAATATATTTGTAATAGTTGCTTGGATAGAAAACTATACATGTTATAGTTGTTGGAGCCTAGATTATTTATAGCATATTAACCATAAGATATGGTATCTGCCTTTTAGGAGCTTTTTATCCAGTGACAGACAAAGAAAAGGCATACTAAATATTAAATCATAATGCGTGAATCAGTAAAATGCTAAGTAATCAGTTGGTCAAATTTTTGCCTGTAAAGGAAGGGAAGTCTTGTAGATTGTAATCTATGGAAAGTATTCTTAGAGCAAATTAGATTTGCTGAACTTTGGAGAATGTACACCTAGATACAGAATATTAATGTTGTCACTGCCAGTGAGGAGAAGAAAGAAAAGGCAAGGGAGAGCAAGTGACAACATTTATTTACGATAATGAAAAAAAGCCACCAACAATGTTTGAGGTAATGACCAACTTGGTCTTCATGCGGATTCCTGTGGCCTGCTAGTAGTGTCCTAGGGCTGACCGCGACGTCTGACTTGAAATTCCAGATATATCAGTTAATAGTCCGAGTATTCAGATCATCTCCTTGGGAAATCTGGGGCAGATCGTTGCTGAAGGTAAGGTAGAGGGCAAAGGATGAAGGAATGGGAAGGACAGGAAGACATCTACTTTATGCACTTGGACTTGGAGACATTGAGAGGGCTTTTGAGCACCTGTTTATATTGGTGATAATAGATAAATTCTGCAGTTGTTATGGCAAGAATCTTTATTTTGCCAGGGGTTCAGATAACAATTTTTTTTGGGGGGGGGGTGTGTGGAACCGGGGATTAAACTCAGGCCCTTGCACTTGCCGGGGAAGCACTTATTCCACTGAGCCATCTCCCCCGCCCCCC